CTCAAGAATAGATTTTTTAATATAATCCAGCTAAAGTTGCAGTCTACCTGCATACCAACCTCAATGGAGATGGTCCGTTATGACACCACATCAAGCCCAAGCATTCGTGAAAGCAAATATCCAAAGGAAAAACCAGAAGCATGAAGAATAGATGAAGCAAGAACCACTTGTTGATCAGACATAAGGATTGCAGAAGAACTCTGGGCAATTGCATATTCACATAGAACAACAACAGTTCCCACAACAATGGGTGGCATCAAGGGAGATACAATTTTAACAAGGCTTTGGAAATACTGATTCAAAAATGCACCAGCCAGTACAGAAAGAAGAACAACCTGTGTTCATAGCAGCATATGATAAAGTTGTCCTTGGCTTTAATGGCGTCAAACAAACCAAGGCAGGAAAATCTACCTGCATGGTTGACGCCAAGAGTCTAGTGGCATCTACTGCAACATATTGCCAAAATAAAAATTCAGACAGATTATCTGTGAAATGCGCAACTCTATACAACAAAGTAGATAGCCAAATGCAACAACTGGCTTTATGTAAGAAAGCCAAAAACCAAAATTATCAAACCCACACATAATGCACATTGTTATAGTCTATCCCTTGAATAATTTGGGTTTGGACTACTGGTGTCGTAAGATTGAAAAAAATAAAATAAAATAAAATATAATATAATTATTTGTTGTTTAGCAAAACCATTTGCTGAGGCAGACAACAAAGGAAGCAAAATTTGTGTCCTTTTGTAGACAATGATATTTCTATAATTTCTGAAAAATCTAGAAATTTGTTTTATTCTCTATTTAGTGTTTTATTTTCTATTTAGTGTTTTATCAATCCTAAGAAGTAATTAACTTTATTAGGTTTTTTTTTTTAATTCTAAAATAGGAATAGTTATAGGTTTTCCTATTCTAAACAGGAACAGGTATGTTGGAGGTTTAGGGATCCTTGACCTAGTTGGATTTGGACTTCTATAACTCTATAAATACAGCATGTAGTCTTTCAATATTTTGAATGCAATAATATTCATATAATTTCCAGCAATTTTCTTTGATTGTATGATTCAATCCTCCTCTTATGTGTAACTCTCAAGACCCCTAGGGGTGACTCCTAGAAATGTACCCACATATTTCCTCATATTCTAGTAGAAATCTGTCAATACAATCGTAGACTATCCTAAACAGCCTCTAAAAATCGGATCCAGAACAGCCCCTAAGACATACACTCAATCACAAAGTGACTCATGTAAGATTTTAATGAGTCCCACATCACAAGCTGTTTCAAGACAAAATGGACAAAAAGATAAAATGTAGGAAAATGTTTGGTGAATTATAAGAAATATCTAGAGACAATCATAGCTATGCACAACCCACAGGAAGCGGATGCTAGTCCAAAATAGGTACCTAATGACTTATGATTTGCAAAAAAAAGAACAAGCAAATAATTTGTGTTGTCATCCAGATTTTGACAAGATGAAACGAACAATAACTTACAAGGTGAAAAAAGGCTACCGAATATTTGCTACATAAGTTAGCAACATGGAAATGTTGCATTACCGTTTCACGTTGACGAACTTCACATAAGCCTCGATACTTCAGAACAAGATTGTCTTCTTTAGATGACAGATCTACCACCAAGGCTGTGGCACAACATCTGCAATGAAACCTCCTTCTCTCATTTCATGAATAAACTGTACTGCCCCTGAATCATTCTTGTTATGGAGAAATCCTAGGATAATAACATTATAACATTCATTTGGAGGGCAGCCATCCTTTTCCACACTTCGGAAAGCTTTGTATGCTTCATCCAGCAATCCTGCTTTGTAAAGTCCATTTATCATTTTCCATATAACCGAGCATCAGGCTGCAACCCTTTGATGCGAAGTTCTGAAAACAGTTCTCTTGCTTCTTTAAGCTTTCCAGAGTTGCACATGGCATGAATCTGGATATCATAGAATGCCAAATTAGGCTTCAAATAACTATAAGTAAATAAATTGGGAGGCTGCCATTAGCATACATATTCTTAAAAATCTCGTGTGCTTCTCAAAGTCTCCCTGCTTGGCAAAGGCCACTAATAAGAGTGTTGTAAGTGACAGTGTCTGGAATCAGGCCTTGATGAGTCATTTCATCAAAAAGTTGTTTGGCCAGGGGTAACCTTTTAGCCTTACAATATCCCTTAATTGAGATGGTATAACTAAAAACATTAGGCATACAACCCTTGCTTATCATGACATCAAATACCTGTCTAGCTTCGACAACTTAATCTCGATGGCAATATCTATGCATCAATGAACTGTAAGCAACAATATCAGGCTCCACCCCAATGCAGTCATCGTTTTTAAAATACCTCGAGCCTCTAAGACCATGCTGAAGGTAACAACATTCGGCAAGATATTCAAACTCATCATTTTATTAAGCAATGCCCAAGCCTCCTTCCATTGACTGAAATTGCATAAAACCTGGATTAAAGAGTTATAAGTTATAACATCAGGTGAGATGCCTTTGCCCTTCATTTCGGAGAAGATATCTGAAGCCTCATTCACCCATCCATCCTTGCAAAGGCTGCTGATGATTGTGCTGTGTGCCACCACACTTGGCTTGCAACCTGCCTCTTCCATTTTCTTAAGCAATCCAGTAGCAGCAGTGGTTTCACCAATCTTATATAAACTATTCATAACAGTAATGTATGTCACAATGTTTGGCTCGCAACCTGCCTCTTCCATTTTCTTAACCAATCCAACAGCTGCAATGGTTTCCTTATTCTTACATAAACCATTGATAATAATATTGTATGTCACGATATCATCAGGCTCGCAAACCTGTCTCCATTTTCTTAAGCAGTGCAGTAGCCACAGTGGTTTCCCCAATCTTACACAAACCATTGATAATATGATGCAGATCATTTGGGGAAGAATCACCATCACCAGTTGGCACAACTGGATCATCATCACCAGCTGGCATAACTGAATCAATTAGCTGTTAGTAAGTCAGTTAGTTGTTAGGAAAATAGTTACAGCTAGTTAGTCTATTAAAGGAGACGAAAGAGGAAGAGAGACTCATCTTGGATCATTTCTGTCAAATCTCCCTTTCTGATTTCTCTCTATTCTCCCTCTGAACCTTCTGTTTCTGTTCTTAGTCTCTTTGTAACTTGTTCAACTTGTTTTGTATTCAAAGCTCTATTGAATTTCATTCAATAAATCTACTGATTCTTCAGTTCAACTTGAGGCCTTCTTCTGGAATTTTGGATCGCATCATAATAGTACTGTATGCCACCACATTCGGCTTGCAACCTGCCTCTTCCATTTTCTTCAGCAAGCCAATAGCCATAGTCCTTTCCCCATTGTTACAGAAACCGTTGATAATATAATAGTAGTATAAGTGTGGACCTTGGAACTTAGGCTTATACCCTCTTGCCAGCACCTCAACAAAGAATTCCACAGCTTGAGCAATTTTACCCACTTTACCCAGCCCATCAATTAAGGTGTTTCCATTAGTTAAGGTGTTTAATTAAGTAGTTCAATGTGACAATACTGGGTAGAAAACCAAGTTTAGTGATTTTGGCCAAGATAGAGAGCCTATAATCGACACGATATAAACATCATGAGAGAGTCCAGCAAATTCCAGTTGTTTGGAAAGAGAAACCACAGTCTGATAATGTCTCATTCTAACAATAGCAGATAATAATTTACTGAATTCGACAATAGAAGGCCGAGGATTATACCTAAGCATGTGATGGAAGGAAGAAAGGGCATCATCAATGTTACTAAAAGAAGCAATTTTGTGTTTATATATATAGAGGTAGTGGTAAAAGAAGAAGAAGTGGAAATGGAGTTGGAGTTGGAGTGGTTGGTAGACAATAGAATCATACCCATTAGTTGAAAACGGAACCCGATAGTAATAAAAGGGGCTGCTGAACTTCGTTTTGGTGCCACCGCCATCATCATCATCATCGCCATCCTCTATGTTTCCCTAGAAATTAGAATTAGATGCTGACTTTAGGTTGGAGAAAGGAGTGCTTGGCGTTTCAATATTTTTGTTTTGTTGGGGGGGGGGGGGGGGGGGGGGGGGTTGGGGCGGCGGCGGTGTGGTGGGGTGTGTGTGTTGGGTGGGAAGAAGAGAGGAAGATCTGTTGTAAAGGAGCGGCTGTGGGAAAGATTACGACTTTTATAGCTATCCCTAAGTTTTCTTGTCTTTTGCTTTTAGAGTAAATTATATATTAGTCACTCTATTTTTAAAAAATATATATTAATTAATCTTTTAAAAAAAAAAACTTAATTTTTTTTTAGCATTGAACATGCTTAATTTAATATGTTTTTATTTCAAAAAAATTCATCACTTCTTATCAATCCTTCCAATTTTTTTTATTTTTTCTTTTCTCTATTTTTTTTAAAAAAATCAAAATAAATTGAAAAAGAATGAAAATTATTATTAAATTACAAGAAAAATTAAAAATATAAGGATTAAATAATGTTTTAAGACAAAATGGATTAATTAATAATCTACTCTTCATTTTTTATTTCCATTTTGATTTTTATAAAGTCAATAAAAAAAATTACTCGTTGATAAGTTTTAATAAATATGGAGACATTAGCAGTAAATATAGGTCATCCATGTCTTAGTTCTGAAAGCTTTTGCTTGCAAGACATTAGCAGTAGATTATCGTCATGTTAGCCATAGATTGATGAATATGAGATTTGAGCTTAAAATTTCATCTTTTCTTTTGCTTTTGAAAAACAATATTAGAATACGATAGGATACAAATAAATAAAATCACGTCCATTGATCCTAGTTCTTTAAAAAAAAAAAAAAAAGGATAATATGCTCTGAAATTTCTAAATATTACATCATGAATCATATTTTAGACGGGAACAAACATTATGAGTGTATTGCTACTTGCATTTCAATTGTCTTCTTCACCTCCTCAAGTCAAATATTTTTCATGTCAAGTCCTGCAAGCTTGGATGAGGGGTTATATAGATTTATAATAAAGTAGCTAGCTTAGAATAAGAAGTAGCCAGCGACAGTGGCAACTCCAGCAACGGCAGAGAACTCGAGGGTGGCGGCACCACCTTTTTCAGAAGCTGAAGGACCCTCAGCGGATGTAGTACTCCCCATTGGCCCTGGAACAACCGTGGTACCATCAGCAGAAGGTGCACCAGCCGCATCACCATCATCAGTACCGATAAAATCATCGCTTAAAGGTGCCTCAGCTGCAGGGACGTCAGTTGTGGAAGGAGCAGGGTCTGCAGCTGCAGCCAACCCAAGAATGGCAACAAAAACAAGAGCAAGAACAATGAGTTTGCGTGCCATTTTCGCTTATACCGAGAATATTGCAGATGTTCTCTCTAGGACCGATCAATATATAGAGAAACTCTGCAGGACAAAACAAAGATGAAGAGGTTGAAGGATTTTGAACGGGGCTTGTAATATAAACCTAAAATGCGATCGGGATTTGATGAAAATGAGGAAACCACGGAAGTTGTAAGCTATATTAGGTGAATAAACAAACACCTGATAATTTCCATGGAAAGTTTGTTAGTTGTAATTAGTCTAATTAAGTTAAAACCATTAGTCAATTCATTTCGATTTTACTAATTACTTGTTACTTTGCATACTAATTGATGGTTTATAATCATTCTTCTTTTTTGTCTCTTGCCTGTTAAAAGGGTTATTATACTCGTCAGGATTTTTATTTTTAGTTTTTTTTTTTTTTCCTTTCTATATTTAAACCTGCATGGTCAAAAAATAACTTGTCATTTTCTTTGATCTTTAAACTAATGATTGTTAGCTGCACTGTTTAAATTATAATTATAGTTTTACATGAGTATGAATGTAACTGAATTAATGCGTTTTCACGTAATGACATGAAAATCAATTTATGAAGTGAAAAATTAAGGTCTGTATGTTTTGTCATCCTTTGATCGAACTATCAGAGTTTCTCTACCTACTAGGGATAGCAATCCAACCTACCCCAAAGTTGCCTTTTCCCGTTTGGGACCCAAACGGAGATGGGACGTAAAATTTTGCCTCGAATAGGACAAGGGGCAGGGATGGGTTTTTCTTTTTTTTTATTTGGGCAAGGCTGGGATAAGGATGGCAATTCCTACCCTACCCCGGTCTTTTTATCTTTTAAAAAGATGATTTGGCGGAGCCTCGTCCCTTTCCATTTGAGGCGGGGATGAAAAGCAAAATTTCACCTCAAACGAGACACGGAACACAAGATAAGGAAGGGGTTTTTTTTAAGAGGACAGAGCGGGCCTCACCCATTGCCATCCCTACTACCTACCATTGCTGCTCATGCTTTGTCTGCATCTTTGCCATCTTGGCATGCCCGACTGGGTCATGCCTCCATTCATTATTCATCAAGTTCTTCGTAACAATAAAATTACATTTTCTAATAAGGATTTTATTCCACTTTGTCATACTTATAGTATAAGTAAAAGTACTAGATTGCCTTTTGTTGCTTCACGTTTTCAAGCTCAAATGCTTTTGAATTAATTTATTTAGATGTTTGGGGCTCGTCTCATGTTGCCTCTTTTACAGGTGCTAGATGCTAGATATTATGTTTTATTTTTTTTTACCATTTCAGTAAATATATTTGTATTTACTTTATCAAATACAAGTATGAAGTATTCAATACCTTCATAAAGTTTCAACATGTGATGGAGAAATTTGGTGCTCTATTAAATCCTTTAAGGCAAATTAGGGTGATGAATATCAAGCTCTCGCATAGTATCTCTCTGATAATGGTATTTTACAATGAAGCTCATTCACCATAGCAAAATGGATATGCTAAACGCAAACATCAACATGTGGTTGAAACAAGTTTGGCTCTATTGAATCATGCACAGGTCCCCTTGCGATACCGGACATATGCTTTTGAAATAGTAGTTTATACTATCAACAGGCTTCCCACACCAATTTTATCTCATAGAGTTCTAAATGAAATTTTATTTCAACAGTCTACTAATTATGCCTCTTTTAAAGTTTTTGTTTGTGTCTGCTATCCTTGGTTGTGGCTCGTTCTCGTCATTGTGTCTTTTTGGACTATAGCAAAATTCAGAAGGGCTGCTTCCGTCTGAACATTACTGATAACAAAATTTTTATCTCACAACATGTGAAGTTCTCTGAAATAGAAGTTTCCTTTTGCTGATAAAGGTATCTATCATGCTTCTCCATAGTCATCGCAACCTGTTTTTCCAGATCAATCACTACCTTTTGGGTACAGGGTCAGCCTTGTGCTGGACTTCACAGGCTACCCTTCCTCAGTCCAACCTGATTCAATGGCCTCCTAGCATGTCTCTCCTTCTGTGCAGGCCTAAACTGATTCCACCTCCTTCCAGCCTATCTCTCCTCATGTGCTGGCCCAACCTGCTTTCCAAGCCCACATACTTGACTCTCCTGTTTCCTAGATTGATGACTCATTACCATGCGCATCTTTCTATGGCCCCACAACTTGGCTCTAGTGCTGCTTAGTCATCTCCTGTCCCTTTGCACTCTTCTGTTCTTCCCATGATTATTTCACCTACTAAAGCTCCTTTGGTCCAACTATCTGGTGGCATCATCCCGTGGTCACTCAGTCCAAAATAGGCATTCTTAAGCCTAAATCCTTTTTGCCTCTTTTGGCCCTATTTTGGATCATCAATCTTACTCATAGGCAGTAAACGATTTTCACTAGCTTAAAGCCATGGTAAAGGAGGTCAATGCAGTAATTGATAATGATACTTAGGACTTGGTACCAGCTGCTCCATCCTAAAATCTGGTGCGTTGTAAATGGATTTTCGCACCAAATAACACGTTGATGGTAATATTGAATGCTAAAAAGCTCGGCTTATGACAAAGGGTTTTCATCAACGTCTTAACCTTGACTACATTAAGACTTTTTCGTCGATCGTCAAATCAATAATTATCAAACTTATTTTATCATTTGCAATTTCAAAATAATGAGAAGTTAAGCAACTGAATGTTTCTAATGCTTTCCTTCATGGTACTCTTGATGAGCAAGTTTTTATGACTCAAGTCTTCGAGATTTATTTATCCAACCAAACCAAATCATGTATGCTGATTGAAGAAAAGTCTTTATGGCCTCAAGCAAGCACCGCGCTCTTAGTTTAGATGTCTTTCAAATGTCTTAGCCACTCTTGGTTTCGTTGGTTCTAAGGTCAATTCATATCTCTTTTTCTATCGAAAGGTGATACTTATGTCTATTGCTTAGTTCATATTGATGACATTGTGCTTGCTGAGAGCTCTTCAATTAGCTTCCATTGTTAAAGCTCTCCAACATCACTTTCCTCTCAAGGACTTGGGTCGGTTACATTATTTTCTTGGGCATTGAGGCCACATGGACTCCTAAAGGCCAGCTTCGACTCAATCCAAATATGTTGATGATATTTTGTTTTGCTCAAAAAATACATACTAACAATTCTATTGCCACCCCTGCCTCTCTAAAACTCAGGCTTGCTATATCTATAGATGAGTTCTTTTTGGATCTATCCTTATACCACAGCATTGTGGGAAGCCTTCAATACCTAACTTTGACTCGTCCAAATCTTTCCTATGTAGTCAAGAAAGTGGCCTAATTTATGCATTCTCCTACTACTAATCATTGGAAGGCAGTAAAGCTCATTTTGCATTATTTAAAGGCTACCATAACCCATGGTCTATTGATTCGCCACTCTTCTACTATATACATATATGCCTATAGTGTTGCTGATTGGACAGGTAATATTCATTGCAAAACAACCACATGCAATATTTCTTAGCACCAATCTCACTTTTATTGTCCTCACAAACAAAGCATAGTGTCTAAATCATCCATTGAGGTTGAATATAGGGCTCTATCTGCTGCTACTTCTAAGGTGTTTTGCTTACAATCATTGCTACATGGGTTTCACCTATCATCTTCAACTACTCCTATCTTGTGGTGTGACAATTTAGTGTCACATATCTAACTCGAAATATTGTATTCCGCTCTCGATCCAAACATTTGAAAATTGATATTCATTTTGTTCATGAATGCGTTAGCAACGGTGAGTTATTAGTTCGATATATTTTTATAGAAGATCAAATTGTTGTTTCTTGACAAAAGTTTTATCTAGACAATGTTATCAATTTCTCCATGACAAGTTGACCATTTAGTGTTTTTCTCGCTTAACTTGAAGGAGGATGATATGGATACAATTGCATTTAAGATTCTAATATTTTAAATTCAAACATTTTGATATGATCGGATATAATCAAATTCAAATACACTATTGTACCCTATATATATATATATATATATATATATATATATATATATATATATAACCCACCAAAGATGTATGTCGAATTCATCTAATATAATCTTCTTTAATGTGCATCTGATGTTGCTACATAGTATTTGCTTATTATTATTATTATGCAATACATTGCAAAAGGTGGAATTGTAATAAATTTGACTATTTTGTTTTGACTATTATCTAACTACATCTTCAACCGGCTATAAAGAATTTTAAGGTAGTCTCGTATTGGAGTTCCTTGGGAGTGGATTAAAGGTATCGGTGTTGAATAAACTTGCAAATTGGGAGGAACCGCTTGGAGACAGCAGAACGGATTAAGCCGAGCTATGAACAGATTCTTTTTCTTTACCTTTTTTTTTTTTTTTAATAGGAAATCAAAAATAACTCACTCAAAATTTTATATTTAAATTATACTCACCACTCCCAGAATTTACTATAATTTCATTAACAATTCTTCTCAATGTTGAAATTATATTGCCATTTCACTAACTACGTTATAACTGAAAATTTTAGAAATTTAATTACATTATTTAAAAGTTCAAACATAAAAAGTGGTTACAGTAAATTTCATAAATAAAAATAAAGTAATTAGTATAATATATAACTATACAAGAGAAAACTCAAGTGTCATATTCAAACTTCTTTCTTTTAAATATCTTTATTCAAACACCCCTTACATTATCTATGCATTGCTTCATAATTGAATTCAACGCTTTGCTTTCTTTTAAAAGTCTTTTGGAATCCGTTATAGAGTTTCGTGTTTTTTTTTTTTTTTAATATATGCCCCAATGTCATGCTTTTAAAACAGTGGTTATCAGAATTTCTAACATATTTTAGCAAGAATTATTATTGATAATTTTTTTTTTAACAGGATTAGCTCTCTTTGTTATGAAATCTCATAGAATTTAAACCTTGAATATATAAATAAAAAAACTCAAATTTTAAACATTAAATTGTCCCTAATAAACTTGGTCTATTACTTGAAATTATAGATCAATCAATTAAAAAAGGATATATCATCTTATTTAGTCACATTATCAACTTTAAAATAGGAAATAGGAAATATATATATATATATATATATATATTTGAGGAAAGGAAAAGGAAAAGATTATATTTATAATAATTAATTCCTTCACAGTCTCCGGCTGTAAATCGAATTCACCTAATAAAGGTTTTAATAAAATAAACTTAGCAACTCAGACTCAGTAGTCGCATGTTAAAGACGTGTAATAAATTCTCCCCCCACCTAACGTAGAAGCTTCAGTTTTTTCAACATCCGACCAAACTACTGCTGCTGCCATATATATGCATTCTTAAAATCAAATTACAACCACAAAGAAAATATGAGGAGTTGTGGTTTTGGATCTCTACAGTTGTTTTTTATCTTCTTCTTCTTCTCAATTTCTCTGCATCTTCTTTCAGGTACCTCTCTCTCTTTTCTTTCTTGATTTATTTGTATTGACTTGAGACATGACAGACCCCCTTCTTGGAATTTCAGGATTGCTATAATTCTTGAATTTTTAGGGTCATTTTCTTTTTGAATTATTGAATTTTTTATAATCTGTCTGTTTGGTTTTTGGGAAAACTAATAGTAAAGCTAGGAAGCAAAAATGACACTAAATAATGAATTTAGTTGGGTTTAGTTGACATCTTTCTTTTCTCTTTCACGAAAGTTTGAGAATTTTGGATCTAAATTCTAATGGGTAGCTAACAAAATCTGATTTTTAAGAATGATATTTGTCTAGTGATTTCAAGGTCCAATTTTTATACTTGTCTGGATCCTTTTCAAGCCACCGATGGAGTTTATTTATGAATTCGTAGCCCAAATTTCAGTTGTGCAAGATGGTGTTTCACATTATCTTATTTTTGTAGTCTTTGGTGCTTTAAAGCATGATGAATCTTGATTTTGTTTTTTCTATTGTATTTAATTAGTTCAGGCAACTTTTAGTTCACTGATGTAAGATTGTTTCCAAAAAAAATTGTTTTTTTAAGGTTCAGCGAGTGACCCGGCAAATCCTAAAGATGCAAATAAAGCTGTGAGTCATGATAGTTCAAAAAGCTCTGTGGGGGTTAAGGTGGCAATAGCTTGTCTTGGTGTCGTTGCAATTGTTGGATTTACTGTGTTATTGTTTAAGATTTGGCAAAAGAAGAAGAGGGAAGAGCAACATGCCCGTCTTCTAAAGCTTTTCGAAGATGATGATGAGCTTGAGGTTGAACTTGGCATAAGGGATTGAGATAATTTTCTTGTTGGTGTTTTGACTGAATTTTGTTGAGGTGTGCCTTGCAACTTTGATCTGTTATACAATAGCCCTCTTTGTTTTGTTATAAATTTAGGCTCTGAAAATTTTAGTTGGGTGCATAAATCTTTCTTGTATATTTTTCTGTAGATCTTATATACCGATTATGCTAATAGGCAATCTTAAAGTCCATAGAATCGTCTTCTCAGTTTTGGACAGCAAGCAGTTTTATAAAGCTAAAGCGGTTTAGCATTTTCCTCTTCCAAGTGCTTTGATTATGGGATTTTATTTGTTCTCCTCGCTTGCCTTTTCTATTCGTAACTGTTCTTCATCTTGTAGTTGCTTCTCATTAGTAGATCTCCGCGTAACAACAGGAAAATCCAGTTGCCAGCCCAGCAACAGTGAACTGTCGTATGTTAACTTATATTCTTGTGGTTCTATGACTAACAACGTAATATTGGAGAACATTCCTTTAATATGATGCTGCACCGGTGATATCCTTATTTTATCTATAATTTCTATAGAATCATAAACATTGAAGTCTCATGGGGAAAACACACGGTGATAAATTGTGATACACATGCAAGGTTTTTCTTAGTTTTTGATGAAAATGCTGTTCCTTCTAAAGCTTCGTTTGGATAGGTTGTGATGGTGAGCAACATTTGTTAAAGAACTCAATATTTAGATCACTTGCTAGGCTAAAAAGAGACACGTCTGGCTAGTACCGTTATAATTTAGCATTTTCGAAACAAGTTTGCCTTGGATGCTCTATTGTTAATTGCATGTCCAGATGAAAAGCAATTACAGTTGCTTTCCTTGTTTTTGTGGTGATGGCTCACTGGAAGCTGAGATTTTAAGTCTTGCTGTCTCAGCCGGCAGCAGGAGTTGCTTCCCAGAACTGTCTTTGAAGAAAATCATCTTGTGTACTCGTTGAACTACAGAGGTTCTGATAATGCTGTGTTATTCTTTTGAAAGTTGAAAATTGCATGAGGCCTGTCAGAATCTCTCCCTCACACACATTGCATATTCTAGTATGTTGCTGAATCTATAAATCAACTCTGAATCTCAATTAATTAGGCTGAAATTGGAACAGAATCGGATTGATTCAATGAAAGGTTCTACATCAATGTTGTTCCCAGTGCAGAAAATACTGCATATTGCAAATCTTTTTATATAAACCTGATGCATTAAAGGGGCTTTGTTTGACTGGTTGCACAATGGGTCGGTACCTAGCTCGTTAAGCCAATCTCATACCTTATTTATTAAAAAATATTATACCCATTACTTGGTCTATTATCCATTAAAAATTATTTTCCCATTTCTTTATCTAACCCATGCTCATTATATCATATCCTGTCCATATCCTGTTCATGCCTATTTACCTGTTAATTTTTTTCCCCCTTCAATTGAAGACTTTTTTTTTTTACAAACTTTTTTCTCTATACTCTTTTTATATAATAAAATAATTGGTGACAATGTTTTTCTTTTTCTTTTTCTTTTTCTTTTAATTGGTGATAGGTTTTTAGAAAGATTGAGATGATAGACGTTTTGAATGTATTATGTAACTTTAAAATGTGTTTCTAATAGGGTGTTTTTATTTATACTTTGAAGGTATTTATAGAACTATAAAGAATATAATACCTTTATGCCTTTTATTTTTAAATATTTATTGGTTGGAAGGGAAAAAAAAAGAGAAAAGAATAATGATAAATTTCAATGAAGCTTCTAATATGATCCTCATTGATTTATTCGTGCATACTTAACAATAAAAAAAATATTAATAAAATCTCTAATACGTGGCAAGGTTTCAACATAAATAAAAGAAATGATGGGAGGATAAATAATTATGAAATTGTAATATTTAATTTTATTGATTGGAGGAAAACCAAAATTCAACATTGATTTTGACAGATAAATATTTTGATCGAATAACACTTACTAATAGGAACACGTCAATTTCAATTTTTCAATTAGCATCTAATTTAAATTTAAAGAAAAGAAAAAACTTAAGAAATATTGTAGGAAAGAATGCAAAATAAAAACAACACATTGTGTAACATATAAGAATACATTGTGTAACATATAAGAATGGACAATGCCGAATGATACACTCCCAGCTCAACATGACCTGACATGCATATTGGAAATTAAAGCAGTAATCAACAGATTAATTGGGTTTGCCCCACTGGAAATATATATATATATATATATATATATATATATATATATATATATATATATATATATTTGCTCTGTCGATAGAGGAATCACTGATACATATTTCTTCGACGGAAGAGTGGATAAAATTCGAAAGTACGGCAGCAAAAAAGAAAAAAAAGAAAAGAAAAAAAAGAATCTTATAATTCATTTGACAAAATTGAGATACGGTCCCAAAAAAAGAAAATAGGAATCTTATGATTCGTTTGACAAAATTGAGATTCAAATCGGCAAAACCAAGGTCACACCTGAAATCTTTTTGTCAATTGAACAATCAGCCATCCAAATAGTTTAATTAAATTTTAAATTATTCAATTATAAAATTTTATATTTTAATAATTTTTTTATGTTAATAGGTAAAAAATAGATATCAATAAAATAAAAAATATATATTCATATTCATTGATAAATGATCTATTAACATAAGTGAATAATACTATTTTATTCATATTTAACTCATTACTTATTAAAATATTTTTAAAAAAATAATTAACGAAGGAGTTGGATATAATGTTTATTTTGTATCCGGTACACGTCATTCTGAGCTGCATCTGACAAGTCAACTAAAACCTTTGAAAAATTCCTTGCGGTGCCTATGTTGACTAGGCGTGCAAGTGCAAGTTTCGCAATTGTTTTGTGCGATCTCAGAAGCTTCCTCTATGTTTGACTAGGCCTTACACATTTCCTTTCTTCACCATGTTCTTTCTCTGTCCATGTGTTCTGCCTTCGTAATTCAACTATTAATCTGACCTTTTATTTAGTAGAATATGTAACATTGGGAATACTAAATGATTTCTTCTAACAACCTTCCAATCTGGTTCAACATTTCACTTCTCGTTATTGGAACAATCTGAACGTAAAAGTGGGTCCAGACCTTTTTTTTGGTGAAAATTGTCGAGGGAAATTGATTGGCAAAGTGAGCTAATCTTTATGCTCAAGTCGTTCTGAATATCTTCGAACGCTCGCTACCTTTAGTACCTAAACTTCAAACCTTTTCAGTTCTAGTCCCTAATCCTTGGTTTGAAGCGAAAGTTTTTCTTTAGAGTAAACGATGATATATATACATTACATATTATGTTCTTTGGTTTGAAGCCTAAGAAAATCTTGCTATATATATATATATATATTGGTGGGTGATACGATTGCAATAAGCACAGACAGGTATAACATCCTCCAATATCCTGTAATAGCACCTGTTTGCAACCTATATGGGAGCTTGAGGAAAATAGGAAAAACCAATATCCTGATCGAAAGCATAACTAGCATTCGGCCATTAAATCTCCGCAAGGTTTGGAAAGTAGCCGGAGTAGGCCCTGCATTCCACCTATGGTGGCAGTTCAGTCCCTACTTATATCATAGCATCTATTAACTACTAAATACGCTAACCTCCGTCCTGTTAACTACTAACTATGCTAACCCCGAACTACATATATCATTTGACTTTAACTCAACATAACAAGAATCAACCGTTTTCTTACATAAAACTAAATCTAGCATAAGAAAAAGAAATTCATAAATGAACTCGATCGTCCAGATTTAATTAATTACCGTTTACCAGCTACCAACTATGGAATTAACTGTGTGTGTGTGTGAGAGAGAGAGAGAGAGAGAGAGAGACGGGAGTGGAAATGACGTGGCATTTGGACCACAAAGTGGCATACTATTTGTAGAAGAATATTCTCCATCCACAATTCTGCCTTGTTATGGAAAATAATACCAAATTTGGGTACGATTTTAAACGCCTCTGACTAGATAGGTATAAATTGACCATTTCAGCATCCAAAGAGCTCCAAAAGAAAGAGGTGGTCCTATATATAACATGACAATTAAGGACGGAGAAAGCACGATCAACAAGTAGCTAAGAGTTGTTTTGGTCAATTTAGACGCAATTAATCAAAAAGAGAGACTAAAATGCATGGTAATTAACATTTTGATGAACAAATTGAACAAGCAATTTGATCTTATTGGCCCATGTTCTTTCTTGACAAGCTTGTGTCACAAATGTTCCAGACAAATTTGCATACAGAAAACACGTTTGGTCGGTTGGTCTTAAAATTAATACTCATTGCTATGAAATTCTTTTGAATTCAATCCAAGTTTTGTTTCGATTTTGAAGGATGTTCCTTTAAATGGATAAGCAAAACTTCTCTATGTAAGAAACTTAGCATGCCAACTCAGATCCATTTTATTCATGTTAGGTTTCATCATCAGCTTCTTAATGCTCGACATTGATTTTATTTTTTATTTTTTTCAAAGGCAAAATGGTATTTCTGTTCGTCAAATTCAAAGATAGTTAGGTATTTTTTCCTGTGTAACTTATTATTAGGTTATGAAGATTAATTTGATGTAACTCAATTTTTTTTTTTTTTTTAAGAAAAAAAGTTGTTTAATTTCCTTTTAGAAGTAGCACAATGTAGTCTCCTCGAGTATTGGAGATGGAGTATGAATAGGTTGATTCCTAAAAAATCGAAAATTTTTGTGGGTTTTTGTAGACACACATATGGGTAGTGCTGCCAATATTGATGAAACAATTTAGCCATTTCAACCATAATTGAGCAAAGTATTATTTTTTCAAACATAATATCATTAAACATAGGTAAAAGCAAAATGGATCGTGTTGATTTAAAAAGGGCAGTTGGGAATTTTATTTAAAAAAAATAAATAAATAAATAAGAACTAATTTTGTAAGTCCTTAAAAATAAGGACTAGCAAATAAAATCATTAAACACAAGGAATAGATTATAATTTACTCCCCCGTGTTATTTCTTCTATAAAAGTTA